AAAGTCTATCTATGGATATAATGAGCACTCCGTATAATCTCTTGACAAAGTGCTACTATATCAAGTATGCCTTTTATAATCATTTTTATAATTTCTTAATAAAAAAATGAGACACAAAAAAAAATTAGATGTAATCTTTTTAAAATTATTGGGGTACGCCGAATTGATTATTAGTTAAAAGTCGGGTTCGGGTAGGGTTCGGGTCGGGTTCGGGTTTTTGGTTGGAATATCGGGTTCGGGTCGGGTTCGGGTTTTTGCTTAAAAAGTCGGGTTTCGGGTCGGGTTCGGGTTTCGGTTTTTAAAGTCGGGTCGGGTTCGGGTATAGTACAATCCGACCCGAACCCGACCCGTTGCCATCCCTAGTCATGATGAGGGTGTATAAAGAGATACTAGTATGATCTAAATTTTGAAAATGTAAAAGTATTTTTACAAATAGGAAATTATCTCTACAATTTATTTAATTCAAATAATAAATCAAATTTACTTTTTTAAAGAGAGTTGACAGAGCAAAGTTTTTTAAAAAAATGGGTGTGATTTAAATAATGAAAAGAGTGTGATTTAAATAATTATTATTTAAAATGGTAATATTACCATTAGATGAAGAAGAGAGTGTGTCCACTATGATCGGCAAGTGAGTAGACTACTTTACCAAATGTATTTGGTACCAAATGATAAGGGGTGGTGTTGCCCTCTTTACTAAAATGACATATCACCCTATTTTGATACCAAATTGATTTTACATATTCCACACGGTGCACCCTAATTTCTATCAATCTTTATATATACAAAAGGAGAATTAGAGTTCCAGAATTACGACATGTGACATGCTGACTGGACATTTTTTTAACACCTCGATAGACGTGTCATCAAGAGCATTGACTCGAAGTTTCCTTCAACTAATTTATGATATAGTAACATAAACTGTGTAACATAATAAAATTAGTGAAACATGAGTATGGCATAACATAAAATAAAATGATTAATGGAAAAAAGAAAAGTTTCTTCTTTAACTAACAAAATTTTTAGTCAAATTTTTACTACAATATTTTGCTCGGGTTTCAATTAAGCTTAAAAATCAGTCAATTAAATAAAAAGAAAATTAAATCATTTTTATAGAAAAATAAAAACAAATTAAAACAAATTTAAAAAAATTAAAACAAAGTGAGGACTTTTAACATTTAGTAATAACATTTTGATCTAATTATTATTATAATAATTTTATTTAGTATAAAATAAATATAGAACCACTAATTTTGTTTAATACAAAGGAGGAAAAAAATCAAAATTTCTAAAAATCAACACAGGGGGGGAGAATTATATTAATGCGGATAGATGAATCATTTTTTTCTAAAGACGGTTGTATAAAAGTTGAGGGAATCATTTTTTTGCTCATCAAAGGCAGTTGTATAAAAGTTGAATTTATGAATGAGAATAAATATTTAGGAAATCTTCTCCCGCGCAATTATAATATTAGGAAACAAAGTCGTTAAGGTTACACAACCTAAGTTAATTATGTTCATTTCATATAGGATAACCCTTGAAGCTTCAAAAATTACAATTTTTAAAAGTTTATGGTTCATTATGATTATAATTAAAAGTTATGACCAAACATTGTCATTTATAGGATTGTATTTTATCAAGTCGGTATTCACTAATGATTAATTTAATATTGATGTTATACAAATTTGATGTTTCACATGTGAGAGCAAAAGTAGAGTTGAAAGTATTAGCTTTAGATGCATGCCTTAAGTAGTCTTTATAACATTACAGGTAGAGGTGGCAATCGGGTCAACCGAATCAGTTTCGGGTTGGATTTTTTCGATTCTGATATCTTTCAGATATATGTTATAATCGGTTCTTTTCGGTTCGGATCGGTTTACTTTCGGTTCGGATTTGATTCGGTTCTATACATTTTTCGATTCGGTTTGGTTTCGAGTCGGTTCAGATACGGTTCGGTTATAAATCGGTTTGGATAGATTTCGGTTTGGATACAATTTGAATCGGATATATTTCGGTTTATGATCTAGTTCAGTTCGGATATATTTCAGTTTCGGATCAAATATATTTTAGATATATATTATTTTCTAATTAAAAATTAATTATCCATGTTTCTTTTTATGTTTTATCACATTTATCAATCTATCATCAATTCAATGCCTATACTATTTTATATTTTTTTCTAATTATATTATCTCTACCCTAAATAATCTTCCCTTTTTGACTTTTTAGTCATATTTTACAAATTTGGACTACAAATTATGAAAAAATATATATTTAATTATGACATAAATTAAATTTAATATGATTAAATTTATTTTTAAATTTAGTTTTGATATATCAAAATTTTCTCACATCTACTAATATATTTCTGTTTATAAATGAAAAGATAAAAGATAAATTCAAATAATGTTATGTTCCATTTGAATACAATTTGGTAAAAATTGAGTGAAATTGGGTGAAATTAAGTGAATTTACTTCAATTGAGAGAAAAATTTATAAATTATTTGAGTGCATTTGATTGAAATTAGATAAAATTAAATTTAAAAGAGTCAAATTTAATTAATTTTACACCAAATATAAAATCATTTCTTTTATTTGTTACACAACAATGTCTATTTTGTTCATAACTTTTTGTATGTAAGTCATTACTTGACAAATAATATACCTCAAATATCTTTTCACAAGATCTACCCAAGGATATTGATATTGCATATATAATTTTGACGTTATGTCTAGACGTAGAAAAATAGAATCTAAATCGATTACCCGAACCGAAATATCCGAAACCGTAACCGAAATGATCTGAAAAATGAAGATCCGATCTATAACCGAAAACCCGAAATGATCCGAATCAAACCGAAACCGAACTAAATAATTCATATCCTAATTAAATCCAAAACCAATAATATCCAAACCGATTAAACCCAAAACCGATTAGATCTGAAACCGTTAATACCCGAAACTGATAAAACCCGAAACTGATTTGATCCGAAATCAAAAATATCCAAACCCGATTAGAACTAAAACCGATAAATTCGGAACTGTGTTTTCCTTTCAATAAGCATATTATATTTTTAAATTTTTACTTTTAATTTACTACTTGAACTAATTACATTACTTCAAGTAAATTTTATCCTAATTTCATCCAATTACAATAAATTTTATTGGTTTGAGAGTTTATTTGATTAGTTTCAAACGGAAATTGATATTTGCACTCCAAATATGTTCATGACACTCCACATTTTTCCATCTATTTTCAATTTGACACTTATACCCTTGTCATTTGTTTTTTCTCGCTCCAATATTAGTGCCCTATATTGGACAATATGCCACTAGCTCAATAATTTAAGAAAGCAGAATGTTGCATTTGTAATTGAAGTATAGACATCAACTTCTTTGTGTTAGATTATAACATTATATTATAGAAGAAATCATGCTAAATGTGAGTAAAACATAAAGAAAATATCAAAAATAAAAACTTCATGTTTTTTATCTTTAAAATAGAAGTTATAGTATATGAATATTTCACATTACTTTTGGGATTATATATTCGTCCCTATAAAATAATTATTTTTGCAAATATTGTCCTCCCATAAGTTAAATATTTTTTTGATTCTTGTAAAATTTATAAATTTTATTTTTAGTCCCTTTAAAATTCTTTTTGTTCATTCAGTTCTATTTTTAAACTATTCAATAATCATTCACGATTATCTTATTCTTTTTATTAAGTATTTACTTAATTAAAAGATCAAATTCAATGCAATATTTTTAAATTCTTAATCGATTAACTACATTTTAAATTTAAAAAGTTGCTAAATTAATACTTTAGTTTTTAGGAAAAAAAGCTTTTGATAAATTAACACAAAATTTATTTTTATTG